CAGCAGCACCGCGATGCTGAGGGAGCTGAAGGAGTTGCTGGAGGCTGCCTTCGAGCTGCGCGAGATCTCGCCGGTGGTGAAGTACCTTAGGCTGGAGATTGTGCGTGACAGGCTGGCAAGGAATTTGTGGTTGCACCAGCAGGGCTACGCCGACAAGCTGCGCAGGCACATCATCGATGAGGAGCAGGGCGGTCGAGTCCCGAAGACGCCGGTCTCGGTCGACGCCTAGTCGAGCTGACATTTGACGACGAGGAGGCGCAGGAGCGCGAGGAGGAGGTGTACCGGCAGAAGTTTGGCTCGCTGCAGCTCGCGGCGACGACGACGAGGCTAGACATCGCGTTCGCCTGCAGCAATCTGGGGAGCGGCCTCACGGTGAAGAGCGACCAGCATTGACGCGAGGTCGACCGCTGCCTTGCATACCTCGCTGACACCTGCGACACCACCCTGGAGTTCGGCGGTGGACCAGAGTCGCTGGAGCTGATTGGCTAAGTGGACGCCGACGTCGTGGGCGACAAGCAGAACCGGGCGAGCACGTGCGACAATGTATTCGTCTTCGCTTCCTCCTTGCAGAATTCAAGCAGCTCGATGCTGGGAAGCCGACTATCCTCAAAGTGGACAACAAGTCGGCCATCACTGTCGTTGAGGGCTTGGGGCTGACGGGCAACCTCAAGCACATGGAGTGATGCTACGCCTGGCTGCAGCACATTGTGAGGCACGGAAAGTTCGTGAGCAGCCGGCCGACTTCCTAACGAAGGCGTTGCATTTTCCGGCTTTCAACCGGTGCTCTATCGCCATCGGTCAAGTTCATCTGGCCGACGTCGGCGACGGCATGATGATGTGCAGCAGTAGGTGCCCTGCCCTTCTGCACGGCTGGTGCGGTGACGGCGTGCTGTGTGGGGTGCACGCCGAGGACGAGTTTTCTCCGTGGGGTACTATCGTGTGGGCTGGAGGCCCAAGCGTGAGCACGGCAAGGGAGTGTTAACGGGATTGGAGTATTGGCCCCGCCCCCGCTTGGGCACGCCCTGCCCTGCCCCGTGTCGCGCTGCCCCGCGCATGCCCTGCCCTGCCCCGCGTCCTGCTGCAGCCCGTGCCCTGCTGCCCTGCGCGTCGCGCCCTGCTGCAGCCCGCACGTCGCGCCCTGCTGCCCTGCGCGTCGCACCCTACGGCAGCCCGCGCGTCGCGCTCTGCTGCCCCGCACGTCGCGCTCTGCTGCAGCCCGTGCGTCGCGCCCTGCTGCCCTGCGCGTCGCGCCCTACGGCAGCCCGCGCGTCGCGCTCGGCTGCCCCGCGCGTCGCGCTCTGCTGCAGCCTGCGCGTCGCGCCCTGCTGCCCCGCGGGTCACGCCTTGCTGCAGCCCGCGCGGCGCGCCCTGCTGCCCCGCGCGTCACGCCCTGCTGCAGCCCGCGCATGCACCCTGCTGGAAGCCGTTCCCGAAGTCCTGCAACAGTACTGCTCCCACAGCGATGTCGCTAGCGTCGGTGACGAGCTCGAACGGACGGTGCGGATCGGCGATGTGAAGTACGGGCGGCGAGCACAAAATATTTTTGAGGGCCGAGAAGGCAGCCTGCTCTTTCTCCCCCCATGTATACTCAACCCCCTTCCTCAGCAGGTCGGTCAACGGGGCAGTCAGCTTCGCCATGTCGGGGACGAACCGGCGCACGTAGTTGATGAACCCCAGAAAACTCTGCAACACAGTCAAGTTGGTCGGCGCGTGCCATGCTTGAATCGTCGCGATCTTTTTCGGGTCTATTTCCACTCCTTCAGCTGAAATAATGTGTCCCAAAAACTCCAGTCGGCCCTGTAAAAACTCACACTTAGACGCTTTTGTCAGTAGGCGGTTCTCACTCAGTATCTTAAAAATTGCTTCGATGTCCTGTAAGTGCTGTGTTCTGTCGGGGCTGTAAATCAGGATGTCGTCCAGGTATACGATGACGCACTTATCTAAGAGCGGGCGGAAGGCTTCGTTCATGGTCATTTGAAAAGTGGCGGGGGCGTTGGTCAGTCCGAAGGGCATGACAGTGTATTCGAAGGATCCGTAGCGTGTTCGGAAGGCTGTCTTAGGGCACTCGGGTGGGTTAACGCGAATCTGGTGGTAACCCCCTCGAAGGTCAATTTTCGAGAAAACCCGGGCTGTGCGCAGTTGGTCGATCAGCTCGTCGGCTCGCAAGATGGGGTAACGGGATTTGATGGTAACCCTGCTCAGTGCTCTGTAATCTATGCACATGCGAAATCCCCCGTCTTTTTTCGGCGTGAACAGTATCGGTGCTGCGAAGGGCGACGAACTAGGGCGAATGAATTCCTTCTCGAGCAGATAATCTAGCTGCTTCCTCAGTTTGTCCAGTTCGGGTTGGGTTAGTCGGAACTGTCGCTGTACTGTCAGCTGTGCCCCCGGTTCTAGTTCTATCCTGTGGTCGTGCGGTCGCTGAGGTGGCAGTCCCGTCGGTAGGTCGTCCGGGAAGATGTCACTGTACTGCTTCAACAGTGCTGCCAGATCACTCGGTACGTCGGCTAGCAGTTTCTATAAATCCCCTCCTTTGTCTGCTGCCTTGGCTTCCCGAATGTCAACCGCGTACACGTCAGCTCCTGCCGCTACGGCGCGTTTCATCATGATCGAGTTAACACGCACCGACGATGACTCAGGCGAGCCCCAGCGAGGTAAGGCGATGTTGTTACCGTTCACTCGCACAGTGCAGTCACCCGTCGTCCAGTCGATTCGCGGATTGTGTCGTCGCAGCCAATCACGCCTGAGTAAAATGTCGGTTCCGTCGAGGGTCGTTGCAAGCATTTCCTGGCTAAACGTGAAGTTACCCCCACATCGAATCCGAACTCGGTCCACACGTTCCCGTATCGCCAGTGGCGTGCCGTCGACCAGTCTTGCGTCGATTTCATGTAAGCATCTGTCCAGTGGCAGTCGCAGTTTTCGTGCTGTAGCAATGTTGATGAGGCTGTGGGTGACTCCCCCGTCTACGAATATTTTAACTAGGTCAGTCCCAATTTTCCCACTAAGCAGTATAGGGCTGTCTACCGTAGTACCCTCCTTATTCGGCCGGGTGTGGTCGATTGCGTGAACCGGCACAATCACTCGGTGAGGGTCGGTTGGGTCGGGCGAGCGGCGTGACCTGTCAGTAGAGGGCCCGTCTGCTGCTGACTCCCATCGTTTCCCTGCTGCTTGGTCTGTTTCTGCTGCTCAGCTTCCCCCTTTCCCTTAGCGTTTTCCGGGCATTCGCTCTTGCGGTGTCCCGGCCGATTGCACGCAAAGCAGCGCCCTTTGAACGGTGCGGCAGCGGCATTTGCGGCGACGGCACGTATCGTAGCGCCCTCGTTCGTCCCACGAGGCCGATGTCCCCAATTGCTGCTTCCGTAGGACCCCGGTCTCGGTCGGCGGAAGAAATCAAGTTTCTCCGCCATGGCGAGAATCTCCTGAAAATCGGTGACGCCGCGAAGCTGGATTTCCTGAGCGATGTCGTGCTTCAGGCCGCCGATGTAGCGGTCGATGCGCTCGCTCTCATGCATATGTCCCACCTGCTCGCATAGCGCCAGAAACCCGCTCGTGTAGTCTTGGACGGAACCGAGTTGGCGCCAAGTGCGGAGCCTCTGTCGCGCCGCGATCGAAGCCGCAATTGGCTCGAAACGAGCGCGCAGACCTGTGCACCACGCGTCCCACGTGCGATACTGGGGCACCTCCATGAAATACAACGGCGCCCAGGGTCCGGTTTGTCCTTCCTGTGTCAGTAGAGTCGCGTAGTCTACCGGCTTCGTGAGGATGACACGCCACCAGTCCATGGCGGGTCCTCACAGCAACGACACGGCGTAACGAATCTCCGCCGTATCCTCCGAGACGTAGTTCGCGTCGAAGAAAACGTTCAACGTGAAGAGCCACGCCTGAACGGTAGAACCACCCCGCTGACTTTGGTCGAAACATGGCGGACGCTGCGGCTTTAGCGACATCGGCGACGGAAGAGTTGATTCGCCGGCCGGCACTGAAATCGTGACTCGAGGCTGATTCCTGGCCGCATTCGTCGTGTCGGGGTGTGTCGTGCCGTGGTTGTCGTCTCCATCATGGCGGACGACGCCATCACTTGCGGCGCTCGCGGGTTGCCCCACACTTCCGTGCTGTGATGCCTGTGGTGCGGGCTGAATCGGAGTGCTAAGTGCTTGGGATTGTGTTCGTGCGAGGTCGTTTTGCAGGGACGAGCATTCTGCCGTCAGTGTCGCGATTTCCTCGGCGCTCTCGCGGATTTGTCGCAGCAGATTGTTCAAGTGCTCCTGCGTGAGAGTCGTGACGTCGATATGCTCAGCCATTTCGAAGGGCGTCGGCTCGTCTTAGTCTAGGCGCAGTCGTGGCTGCACGCGTTTACGAGAGAACGCAAGCACAGCGGCTCCTAGGTGCTAAGGTACGTGAGTCCCTTCGAGTGAAAAATCAAAAGTTTATTTCCTGGGGTGCGGAGATGCGCGGTCCGAAAAGGAAAGAGGCTTTGAATTCCAAGTGTTACGGGTGCAATGAATCGAAGTAGCGAGAATTGCACTAAGGTGTCAAACGAGTACAAAATGTGAGCGAAGGCGTGAGCGAACATTTATACGCGAAACATGCAAACGGTAACGCGGTGCGTGCGAGCTAGCTAGTGCTACGCTGGAAGCGAGGCTCGTGCTAGTCCCGAAGCGTAGGCCGACACGGCCAGGCCAGCAGTGCGAGGTTTGGTGAAACAGTGCGCGCGAAGTCGGCGAAGCCCCGTTAGCAGTAACGGGCGAACAACGGCTGCTGCTGTACGCGATGTTGCAGGGTGCGCTAAGGAATATCGAGAAAATTCCTTACAATATGTATATGTACCCTTATTCTTATAAATACTCAGATATATACCAGGGCCCGCTAAATTCAGAATATCAGATGCCGAGCCTCGGAATTCTCCTGGTAGCCCCGAATGGGTGGCCTAGATCTGAGTGGCGAGTGGTCCGGCTGTGGCTTTTCGAGCTGGCTTTGATTCACATTGCCGAGCCTGGATTTCAAAAGGCAGCAGCAGCAGCAGCAGCATCAGCAGCAGTAGCAACAGCAACAGCATGGCCAGCAATGGCAGGAGGGGCAGGTTGGTGGGGGAGAGGAGAGAGGACATCACAGCCAGCAACTGGAGGTTCAGCAGGGGCAGGAGAGGCCGGCGAGTGGGGTAGAGGAGAGGGGACAGCAGGGGCAACAGCGGGATGGCCAGCAAGGGCAGGTCGGGCTCCGGGTCCAGGGGGCGACCCAGCCCTTGGGTGCGGGCTGGGTCGGGGAGAGAGGGAGAGAGGAGGTGGCGGGGGACACGACGGCGGGAGCGCAGGGGTTAGGAGGGGAGGGTATGGAGGGGGGGGATAGGGCGAGGGTGCTGGGGGGTTTGGGGTTGGGGAGAGGGGATGGGAGGAGGCAGGTGGGTGGGGGAGAGCATAGAGAGGCAGAGACGACAAGGGAGGAGGCACAGAGGGACTAGGCACAGCAGTAGCCAGTACAGCAGCAAAGGCAGGCTGGACGCACAGGCCGCATAGGGGCACCAGCCCGCATTCCAGACCTGACTTGCCGCGATATAGAAAAAACTTTGATGGTGTTGGTAGACGTCTCCATTGCAGATCCACAGCAACAGGGGAATACCGGGCTTAGACGAGTGGCCCCAGTGCAGATAGGTGTTGCAGCAGCCAGACGAGTGCAGGACAAGTTGCGGGATTGGGCACCGCATCTAGAGGGATTACAACCGCCGCCACATTTTATGCTTGTGTAGTGGAGACGTTTGGGTTGCTCAGCGAGCCAATGAGGCAGTTTCTACACGACTACACGACTTTCCGTGGCACTGCAGCGAGCGTAGGCTCAGAGTATTATACAGCACGCGGTGCGGCAGTTGGGAGGGTCAGACGATGGGTGGATGCCCGCACCAGTCCCTTTGGGTGCAGGGCAGGGCAGTTGGCATCACATTACCGGCTGCTTTGAGAGCGTGGCAGACATGCAGTATATGTACGATGCATATGTATAGGCGTTTAGCGATTGTGCTTGAAAGGCTGTGTCCCGCGATGTGGTGCGGGTTGCTGTGGTGTTTTGGTCCTTAGGTGTTTCTTTCCTTTAGTTTCTTCCTCTCTTCCTTTCCTCTTTCCACCTTTCCTTCGGCCCTTCTTTTCTTCTCCAACTCTTCTCTCCACATCACCCTGTCTTTGTTCCACCATTTCTACCTTCCTCTAATACCCCTTATCTTAATTACCCCGACTTTGTATCACACTTAATCCATAATGAAGCCCCGAATGGGTGGCCTAGATCTGAGTGGCGAGTGGTCCGGCTGTGGCTTTTCGAGCTGGCTTTGATTCACATTGCCGAGCCTGGATTTCATAAGGCTCCTGGTCCGATTGGCCCCGGTCGGACCAAAGCCAACCACACAGGGTTGGTTCCTTATCGGACTTCCCGTGGTCCAAACGGTTCCAGTTAAATGTTCAAACGAATCTCGCCTCTTCTCCACACTTTCACGCCTACACTCTGTCGCACCATAGACCTCACCATTACTTCCCGCGACATTTCTACTCCCGCTTCTCATGCCATCACTTGGGTTCAGTCCTCCGTCGCACCATACACCTAGCCCACGCCAATTTCAATCCCCCCAATTTCAAAGGGTTTGTCGTCGCCTGGTGGGGTTACAGCACACGTGGCATGGTGAATGGTCAGCAGAACATTACGACGCTGTGGGATGACATGCTGGCACTTCATCCCATACTCAAAATTCTTGCCGAACCACTCTCAAACACAGAGAAACACTTCAAAACCATACAGTTTCTGCTTCGTAACTTTCTCGCTCGACACACGCGGGAGGTAAATCCGCCCCGTCAGCACAGACAGCCAGGTGCTGACTCACTACACAAATATCCCTTGCACAAATGGCAAAATCGCGGCTCGGTGCGAAGTTTTTGAAATTAGCGCGGGTTAGGTGTAGACCTCTCCATTGCCTCCATTCAGTCCTCGGTCCCTGATTAGGTCGAATAGGTTGGATCTGACTAGCCATTTCGACAGATTCGTGTGTCTCATCAGATTCCTGTCTCACGGTGGTTTACACCTAACCACCGCTATTTTCTTTCGGTCTATTTTCAACCTCACTTGCACAAGTGGGGTATGCACCCTTTCTAAATCTTTGACCGAGGGTTGTGTGGGGCATCATTAAATTTTAGCGAGGGTCTGTTCCAGATCCCCGAAGAGAGTACTGTAGAAGTGGCGCTATGGATTCAGATTCGCATAATGAGTTTAAACTTCGAGCATTAGGCGTCATTCATAGCCCCAGTCATCTAAGTGTCGAGCTGAAATAGTCGAAAACGTGCAGGGTAACTTTGAAACGCGAGATTAGTGGGTTGGGTTTCCCCTTGAAAATAGCGGTGGTTAGGTGTAACAAGAACAATTTGCCAGCCTCAGTGTTCTGTGTCAGAATCGTCATCTCAGAAATCTGAGCCATCGCAGGTCAGCATCAGGACATGCCGCGTTCCACAAGAGTCCATTCCCTTCCTGATGCTTCCGGCCGACCTCCTCGTTGTCTCTCTCCGACTACGCTTGAGGACGAATCAGATTCTCAGCCTGATCCGCATATTACAACTCCTCCTGCCTCTGTCAATGTCGCACATGTTCTCCTCATCGCCTCTGTCTGCCGTCACTGGCGGGAGCTCGCACACCAGTCCGTCACAACGCTTCACGTTTCACCAGATCGTCTCGTGTCTCGCCAGGATCTCAAACGCGTTTTGGTGTCCTTCCCGAAACTCACTCACCTGCACTTGAGCGACGGAAGCATGGAAACGATCGACGACGATTTTCTAGCATTTCTCGGCTCTTTTTCTCCGAACCTAACCGCTCTTCATGTCGCCACAGGCATTGCTCCAAAATCCCGCATCCCATATCAATATGAGGAAATAGACGACTCTGATGATTCAGAGCACCCCGTCACGGCAGCTGGGCTGGACAGTCTCTTCCGCCGTTGTCGCCGCTTGGAGCAGCTGTCACTTCAGTGCCTACATTGGAAAACAAAGTTCCCAATTTCGTTCTTCCAGCTGACACGCCTGCACACGCTGTCCCTTGGAGAAATATCGCCTCTCAAGGACCTCAACTTCTCCAATCTGTCTTCTCTCACAAAGCTTTCGATTCTGAAACGGGACATGCGATTACATCACCTGTCGCTGTTAACTCGCATTCCGAACCTGACCAGCCTGTTTCTCCCAGAAAGGACATGGTTCCATGATGTCGATGGGGATTTTTCATTTGATCAACTGACAGCGCTTCGTTCACTTGGATTTGTGCGAGGGTCAACAGTTGTTTCTTCAAAATTTCCGTCGGAATCACCGTGTTTCCGTCTTCAACGTTTACAGCTTACCAACACATTACCTGATGATCTTGGCGAGCCGTTCCCGGCTCTTCTCGAACTCTGTCTTTCCGAACTCGTCGATTCGACTGAGCTGCCAGATTTCCTCACAAGCATCAGCACCTTGGAAGTTCTCAACGTTTCCAACTGCGGTATATCCAGCCTGCCTGAGAAGTTTGGAAACCTGTCAAGGCTGAAGTCCTTAGTGTTGAGAGACTGCTCGCTGAAGAAACTCCCTGATTCCATTGGGCTACTCACCGGGCTTCAGAAGCTGTCCATGGAGGGTATGAACATCGACATCCTCCCTGTAGCATTTTCCTGCTTGGCTGCTCTTGAATCGTTGAGCATCACGTATTCAAGGCTGACATCGATCCCGGAGGAGATAGGCGAGCTGACCAATCTCCGCACTTTGGTGCTGCGCGGGAATCCTTCCTTGCAGAAGCTGCCGTCATCACTCAGTCGTTTTTCCTCTCTAGCACAGCTCGATCTCAGCAACTGTCCCATTGGTAGCCTTCCAGAGGGTACAGGTCAGCTGGGTGGTCTGCGAGAGTTGACCTTGACCTATTGCAGTTATCTGACAGAACTGCCAGCATCCGTCACTCAGCTGAGCCACCTGGAGACTCTCAAGGCCCACTTCTGTACCATGCTCGCATCTGCACCTCGAGCCATGGGAAACCTCTCTGGCCTGCGGGAGCTGGATCTGACGGGTTGTTATCAGTTAAAGGAAACATAGAAACCCTGCCAAGGTTTCTGGAAAGCTTGCGCTTGGGAAACGGCATCAGCAGCACCATTCTTCCTGACATGTCAACAGCTCCAAGTCTTAAGAAGCTGTGGTTGAATCAAGTTGTTATCATGGACGCACCAGCAAGCAGCCGTTGCCTCTCTCAGTTAGAGCACCTGGAGATGCGCATGGGCCCTGAACAGAGAGACTTTCCACTCCTGCCCGGGTTCCTGTCATGCCTCCGCGTCCTTCACATCTCAGATGCTGCCTTCCTGCAACACCTGCCTCATGATATCGGCTCTCTGCCTCAGTTGCGACAGCTCCGCATAGAAGGGGCGGAATCGCTGCTGGAGATTCCAGCAAGTGTGGGCCAACTTGTTCAACTCACCTCCCTCCTTATCGAAGCTCCAAATTTGACCCACCTTCCTGAGACCATCTCGTCCTTGTCAAGATTGGGCGACCTCAGCCTTCAGAATTGCTCCTCCCTGACAAGCCTGCCCTGCACTATCACCGCCCTCACTTACCTGCACAGATTGGACGTCAGCAATACGTCACTTCACGTCCTCCCTCGTAACTTCCGCCATCTGAGAAGACTCAGAGAGCTGGATCTGAGTAACTGCAAGCAGCTTCGGTCCCGGCCATCGCAAGAGCTGCGTTACATGACTATGCTGCGAAGGCTGGATGTTCGTGGCTGCAAGTTGCTTGGCCCAGATCCAGTGACGCCCGATGTTTATATGAGGCACGGACTCCATTATTACTCTCCAAGTGGTCTCTATCCTTGAGATGGTTGGAGATCTTAGGATAGAGACCACAAGAAGGTTGTGAACTTTGGAAGTTGCTTATTTCCTGTGTCGCCCAGGTTCTCCTAAAAACATTCAATTACTGATCGGGCAACCCCAGCCTGATCGGGCAACCCCAGCCTGATCGGGCAACCCCAGCCTGATTGGGCAACCCCAGCCTGATTGGGCAACCCCAGCCTGATTGGGCAACCCCAGCCTGATCGGGCAACCCCAGCCTGATTGGGCAACCCCAGCCTGATTGGGCAACCCCAGCCTGATCGGGCAACCCCAGCCTGCCCTGTTCTGTCACCGGCTCCACTTGCGGTATTGGATGCCATGCCAGCAAGACGCCAATTGGATCAGAGAGCTGGATCCGAGTGACTCTGAGCAGCTTCAGTCCTTGTCTCTAGAGCTGTGCAGGTTGACACTGCTGCGAGTGCTCGATTTCTGCAGCTGCAAGGAGTTTGGCTCATAGAGGTGATGCCATTCGAACTTTATGTGAGGCATGGACTCAAGTCGTACTAGGACAAGTACAGGTAGGTTGATTCAGCAGCTGGGTTATTGCCACTCAAAGTAGGCTCCTTGAGGTTGTTTGGGGATGCAGAGTTATACACAGGTGCCGCATGTACGCATAAGCACAATCATGCACAAACCTAAGGCATGTTATTCCAGCTTAATCCATAAGTTTTAGATGTTACCAGCCAAGGATGAATGCGATAAACAACATGCAGATCAGCGTGGCATTGTAGGTAACTACTTGGTACATCATAGCTTGTGTCGCTTTCAAGTCTCTATATGCTACATCTTAATAGCATGGGGTCGTATGCCATGCTCACCTGAGGATGCGCAACTGGGGATGGCAT